GGGGCCCCGCTCGCAGGGGGCGTGGCCGAGGGGCCGGGCGAGGTGGGGCGCGGTCTCCGGAAATTGAGGAACGCGAACGGACGCCAACCTTCCCGGCCCCTGAGGGGCAGAGCGTCCGGGTTGTTAAACGCCTCACAGGGCTCCCCTACCTGTCGGCGAGAGAAGAGAGCGGTCCCCGGCTGCAGCACCCGGGAGCCACAACGTTGGCACAGCACCGCCTTCCGGTTTCGGCCCTCGGCCGACACCAATTCGTTCAGCTGTTCCGCGGGTTCCATTGCTGCAACCGCCGCAGCCTTCAGGGTCACCACGGCGCACGCGTTGTCTTCCGCTCCGTCTCCAGTGCGCGGGCGCGGCTGGGCACCGACGGGGCGGGGAGGGCACGACCGCTCCCTCTCTGCGCAGGCGTGCGCTGCCCTTGCTCGTGACTACTGCGCACGCGCACTCACGCGTTGCCGGACCCGAATGACCAGGTGCTGGTTGGCTTTGTGACAAGGTTACCTCCTGGTACCTGTGACAAATCAGTTCTCTCCATGCATACCTAGTCTCTGGACTTTCCTTAATGTTGAGTAAGGCTTCAAAAGCAAGCCGTTAAAGATGACCTTTCCAGAGATTTGAATTTATTCTGAGTGGAGCATGCGGAGGAGGTAGGAGACTCAGGGATCCGGGTCTGATTAGTTTCGGCTAGGGGAGTATGTACCATTTTGGTGTTGGACAAGGATGCCTGAAAGCTTTAATGGCTGACCGTTGTGGTGTGAGAATGCTTGAAGTACTTATTACATCACAACGTTGCTGTGGAGTTGCTACCCTTGTCCCTAGTGTACCAGGTAAAGCTCACAAAGGTTCCGTTCTGTAGTCTCCAGGTCCAGACCTGACTCGAAAGCCATTGCTCTTAATCGTTACACTGCAGGCTTGCATCCTGATTAGCGTTAAAATCGCTACCTTTTAAAAATGTCAACTGGCCATGTCTCTTGAAATGAGCGAGAAAAGCAGACTACGAGACCACCTGAATACCTACTTTCTGGTCTGCCCTCTACTACATCTACACACTTTTTTCTTTCTCTTCATTCTTAATCAGTATAGTAGGGGGGTTTCAAAATACTTGGCAAAATTGAATGTAAAGGCAATGGATTTTTTCCCCCTACACTTTTGAAGCCCTTCATATAACATGGATATGATATACACTTATTTTTTACTTTAAGCCTTATTCCTGAGCTCTACATTTTTGCTGCTTCAGCTTCTTCTGGGGTGTCTTTTTCCATGCAGCCAACCTCCTCTTCTGGTTTAGGAACAATTTGTTCCTTTCAGTGAGGATCGTTTCAGTGGGAACTCATGTGGCAGGGGGAACTCATATAGGGGTTAACTGGCCTTGAGCTCTTTTAAGTCTGGGAGACTCATCTGGGGGGCTTTGTCCACCTGGATGTGCTCAATGAACAGAGAACCCACATCTAACCATTAAGGTTCAGCATGACCCTCTGCAGTTTTAAGCCTGTGCAACAAAAAGTAAGCACATTTTTTGGCCATTGACCCTGTGTTCATCCTCAGTGTTTGGCTTGGGCACACCTACCAACTCCACCATTGTAACATCAGAACCAGCACACACTGTTTCTGCAGTGAAGTCTTTCAAATATTGGGTGGCTTTGCAGATATGCGTACCCTCGATGACCTGAGCAGTTTCCTGGGTGTTCTTAAAATGGACTTGCAGATTTGGCCCTTTTGATTTCCATGTATTTGAGAACATAATGGACACTCAAACCTAATGACCTGTGATAAAGACAAGTGTCCCAAGAATTCCTTCAATAGAAGCATGTTGTAAACTTGACCTAGGTTACATTAGAATTAGTGTTCAAAGGCGACTAGGATTTGTTAAGGAGCCCTGGTGGTGTAGAGGGTTGCACATAAAGACTGACAGCCTTGGAAACCCAGAGGGACAGTCCTGCCCCGTCCTTTGGAATTCCTATGAGTTGACATGGTCTAGATGGCAGTGAGTTTTTGGAGAGGATTTTGTTAGGAAACCAGGAGTTGTTTCAGAGAGAGCAACCAGTGTAATACATGAAAAGAGATACAGATACAGAGTGCAGCTAGAGTCCATTATGCCCGGGCAGGAGGGTGAGTTAAAGGAGGTAAACCAGAGAGGTAGAATGGGCCCAGATCACTATGGGTCTTGGTGTCATGTTAGGGAACTGAAACAATATAGGTATGAGTAACTTTAACACTTTTTGAAAATCTGTTACAGTCTATCAATACTGTACTGATTCTCTCTATACTTTAGAATAAGGTGACCGGATTTTAACATTGGTAAAGTGGGACACCATCGATAAAACTCATATCCTGGCGAAATAGCCACATGGCAGCCGAAAACTGTATACCCTAGCTTGTTGTGCATTCTTTCAAAAAATCTGGACTTTTTAAAAACGCTGCAGGATGCGGGGAAAAATTGTTAAAAATTGGGACTGTCCCGCCAAAAATGGGACATCTGGTCACCTTACTTTAGACAGATAACGGATGATAAAATGGTAGGACTCAATTAGAAAGGCAAAGATTCTAGTTTTCAGCATGGATACACCATCAACATACAGAAAACAAAATTCCTCACAAGTAGATCAATAAGCAGCATCCTGATGAGGAAATGGCGAAGTTATCAAAGATTTAATTTTACCTGGCTCTATAATCAATACCGATGGATGCAGCAGTCAAGAAACCAAATAGCCTACCATGGATGTGTGGATTGTTATAAGAACTATAAGAGCCCCCAATAAAGTGATTTATTCATTTTAAAAAAGAGAGAAGAGCACTAAAGTGAGGCGTGCCAGTAAAAATGGCAGCATCGAGCAACTGCTGAAAAAGATGATTGAACTGTTTTTGTGTTTTTTGACGTTTAAACTGTTAAAACAGAGAAGATGCCACTCTGAGACCATAGTTGGCACTATGGAGTTTCAACTGCCTCATAGACAATGACTAAGAAGCCTGAAAACTGATGTCTTTGGATTCCGGTGTTGTGAAGAATACAACATACTGTACATACTGTGGACTGCCAGAACAACAAGTCTGTCTTGGAAGAAGTCTCACCAGAATGCTCCCTGTAGAGAGGATGGTGAGACTTCATCTCATACACTGTGGACATGAGGACCAGTCCTGGGTCAGAGACATCGTGCTTGGTCAGTGTAAAGGGTCAGCAAAAAAGAGGAATGCCCTCAAGATGTTTTGACCCAATTGCTGCAGCACCGGGCTCCCAACAGCAATGACATGCGTCATGGGCCCAGGCACTGCTTTGTTCTGTCCTTGCTGTGACCTAGAACTGACTCAAGGGCAACTGAACTATCTCGTGGCAGAAGAAATGAACATGAGAATGAATCTGAACAATACTGTGTATAACTTAAAAATTAGATGTTATGCTTTGTGAAATGGTTGTCAGACGATAACTAAACTTTCCTAGCTGGGTAACTAAGTGACTGGTTTCTAGTTAAGAAAACTAGGAGCAGCATATACAGGGGTACTTCTGAATGTGTGAGCATGTGAAGTATGTAAAACTAAGAAAGGTATGGACACAGCAATGTGTCTTACACACTGATTATTCTTAAAAATATTCAAATGGGGATGCTATCTGTGAAATATTTGGGAGTTCTAAAGCTCAGAATGAGATCTCAGCACTGACAACAACCTACTCATCACGTCTAGGAACCATTTTTCACCCATTTCTTGACCCTCCCTTCAAATGAACCCCAGGCTCTTCTGAGACAGTATGAGCTGCAAGTTGCAGACGCTGGTGTATCTAGTGCACTCTTAAAGAACACTTATATATAGAAGTGTCTTTACTAGTCACAACTTGTACTTAGGGCTCCTCCCCCTTCCGCTGAGATTAGTAGGGTTTTTGCATCACTGTTTATATGCCGTGCCATAAATCAAAAGGGCTAGGGTGACTAGAATCCTACAATTCAAGCGGGGACCTAATGTGCTCAGGATGGCTTCTTCTTTACTCTTTGGTTTTTAGGTAAACAAGTGTCAAAGGGGCCAATAAAAGTGGCACTCCCTTAAACATTTTACTGCTGAGAATGTCCATGACGGTGGAGATGCCACCTCTGAGTCTAAGAGAGAGACAGGGTTAGTGGGCAAACATGTAGGAAGACAGGATTGAAGAGCTGCGCTGGCAGCTGGTCATATCTGCCTTGCCTCCCCGCTATACCCCAAAGTCTGCTGATGGTAGTGCTGGATCGTCATAAACTCCCCCAGAAAATTGAGTCAGCTGATTTTTAATTTTTTTCTTAAAAAAATACAAAGGAAATGAACTCTGTGGGTCAACACAACTTGCAGAAGGTAGGGGGTGGGGGGATGGAATTTCAGAGCAAAGGGAAAGTGCATCCTTGTTTAGGTTATTATCCCACACATCCTATACCCATAAAGCAGAAATCTCACTCCCCCCCACACACAGCAGCTTTGACGGGTAGCTCAGAAATGGTGACAACAGAGGTACTGGAACTAGCACAAGAGCTTTGGTTCTCCTTGATTGTTCTAGGATAATAACTAATTGTACCAGGATGAATAAAACCCTCTCTCAGGCCAGGGAAGGGAACCTTATAGGAGCAAAGACCTAATTGTACCAAACAGCAGTAAAAACCACTCTTTAGTGGAAGTGTGCCCTTAATAGAATGGGGCCCTAATCAGGTAGCTGAACTGAGGCTGCTGTCACACCATCCCATCTGAAAATAAATAGTACAGAAATGTAACCATGTCGTAGTGTTTGATTCAACAAAGGAAGACAGTCTCCCACCCACTCTAGGGAAGCCTTGCGCTGGCCGGATGAAGCCTGGCGGGAGTAAGATGACTGTAAAATCACAGCTGCTTCTAGTTTATTCCTAGGCATGTAACTCCCATGTACGCCCTCTCCTCTCATCCCCCCATGTGTTCAACTCGGTTATTCTCAGATGGGCTCTCAGTGTCGAGATATGTAGTAACTTACTTTGGAAAAACCTTGGGGAAAGAGGAGATCCTTCTAATAAAACACCCTTCTCAGTCTCCCAGGTGATAGTCAGTGGTGTTCTTGGTTCACTCCCAGTTCACTTCCTCTCTAACTTCAGATACTAACCCTGTCCCCTTAGTGAGTGCCAGATGAACCTCTCCTCACAACACCCAAAGTTTTAATAGGAGATGCCCCCTTTGTTCTCCTCCAGAAGGGAAGTGTGGTGCCCTTAGCTACCTGTGGACTACAGAAGATGTTTGTTCCCAGAGGGGATAAAAAAAGTCTTAAAGAGCGTGTCCTAAGCTTAGTTCACGTTGGTATCCGTCCAGTTGAGTAGGTCAGAGTCACCTGACCTCTCTGCAACACACGAGGCACAACATGTAGATAGTCTCCCAAGCACACGGAAAGGGAAAGTGCTCCCCAGACCATGACGGAGAGCTGTCCGGAGTCTCCACATCCGTTCAACGTGCACTGTCTTTCCTTGCGTGTCTGTAGCCACCCTTCTCCGGGGAAAGTGCCATGGCGCAGGGGAGTGGGGTCAAATAAGTACAGCCATTATTGCACCGGTGCTTGTAATTGCCCTGTGCACACAAGTGAGAAATAGACATTCTGGAAAGGATCCGCCATTGTCCCTCACACTGCCCCTGGGACTGGTCACTAGCTCTGGATGATGCTCCAATGGTCACTTCTCTCGGAGAACACACACCCCAGCATCACAGCGCTGGGTTCCCATGGATGTCACGACTTCCCAACTGTCGACGATAGGGTCATAGCACTCAATGCTACTCAGTAGGGAATTCCCATCATATCTAAGTGGGGGAAACAAAAAGAAGAAACTGAGCTTTTGATTCTTTCCCACACAAGTCCTTCAAGGCCACCGGTGGAGACGTTTCCCCCACCCGACCGAACCCTGTCTCCAGCCAAGAAAGAGCACCGGGTCACATGCACTCTTGCACTGGACACGATGGCTCTAGCTTGGCTTCTAAATGCTTACCCTGCAATTGCATAGAGTCTCCCCCGCAGCACTGTGGCCCCTACATAGCATCGTGGGGTGGTCATACTGGTGACAGTTGTCCAGGAATCCGTGCGAATGTTGTATGCTTCAACAGAAGAGAGGTGGGCTGTACCATCAAATCCCCCCATCACATAAATATGGTCATTTAGAAGGGCTACTCCTGCACCTAGGGAAAGAGTGTATGGAAAATAAATACTACAGCCTGGAATCTGAATTCTAGAAACAAAACATGGCCACTGACGCCTTTGAATTAGGGTGTTGATGATGAACACTGAAGATACCGTGGACCGCCAGAAGAACAAATCTGTCTTGGAAGAAGTAGAGCAGAATGCTCCTGAGAAGTGAAGATGGCAAGACTTTGGACATGCTATCAAATGGAACCAGTCGCTGGAGAAGACATGATGCTTGGTGGAGTAGAGAGTCAGTAAAAAAAACAGGCGGGCCCTGGAGGAGATGGATTAACACCGTGGCTGCAACAATGGATTCAAACATAACGATCGAGAGGCTGACAGAGGACCGAGCAGTGTTTTCTTCTGTTGTACACACAGTTTCCGTGATGGCACTTACAAGCAACAACACGTACTAAATTGTACTAGATACTGTAGAATGTGGGAAAACAAAAGACATAAAGATGAATTTAAAAAGACTTTTTCCATATGGATTGTGATAAGAGTTGTACGAGCCCCCAATAAAATGATTTTTTAAAAAATATGGATTGGCATAGTAGCTGCAGCAACGGGCTCAAACATAACAACTGTGAAGATGGCAAAGAACCAGATGATGCTTCATCTTACTGTATAAAGCAATGCGACGGGTACGAACCAAATTGATGGTACCTAAGAAGAAGAACAGGAGGAGCCACCAGTGGATCGTGGGAGATCCCAGCCTTAAGTGACCGAGGAAGCAGAGGTTGTAGCACAGGGCCATGAGGAAGAACAGAGGAACAGCACTGAGACCCTGAAGCAGAGCAGTTGGGCTTCCCAGCTCACAGAACAAGGCAGAGGTGAAGGGGTTGCATGGCTAAGAGGCTGAAGACCTGAGAGAGATGTTTCTAACAGCCTGGCTGGGAAAAGGCATTGCTGTGAACACGAAGGCTATATCCTTTATGTTTTCTGATTCTAACCTGTTAACATCTCTAAAAACAAACAAATAAAGAAGATTTTTTTCCTTTATATGTACAATTAAACTGAAAGTTTAAGCTGTCTTTATGCACACTAATATTCCAGAGATTAAGGACTGCGGCCTTCCAGTATGGTTTACAGCTCAATGAAAAGGAAATAAAAATCCCTTACGGGACCAATAGGCAACATCATGATAAATGGAGAAAAGATCGAAGTTGTCAAGGACTTTGTCTTGCTTAGATCCACAATCAATGCTCATGGAAGCAGCACTCAGAGAGCAGTGTTGTAAATCAGGGAGGTTAGTTAGAGAACTAAGGAGGGCCTGATCTAAACCATGGTAGTTTCAGCCACCTCATGTGCATGTGAAAGTTGGACCCTAAAGAAGGAGGACGGCAGAGTCATAGATGGGTTTGAATTGTGGTGCTGGTGATGAACACTGAAAGTACCATGGACTGCCAAAGGGGCAAACAAGTCTGTCCTGAGAGAAGTGCTGCTAGAGTGCCCTTAGAGGCAGAGACAGTGAGACCCGTCTTCTAAGCTTGGCAGGGTAGCGGGTAAACCAACAGAGACGGACTGACACAGTGGCTGCAAGCACAGGAACACTGGTGAGGATGGCACAGGGCTGGGCAGGGTTTCCTTCTGGTGTGCACAACGTGTCCGTGGGTGGGAACTGACTCGATGTCACCGAACAACAACATTCAGAAAGAACAGAGGTAATGAGGGTGATGGAATCTGTTTCACACTGTGACACTGAATGATTTACTGATAAGCCTGTCCTGTGACTGCACCGTCACTACAGCGGTCAAGATGTGACAGCACTGTTCCTTGGCCCTTCTGTAAATCTGACTGTAAATCTTACCAGAGCGCTTGGTGGCCATCGGCGTGACGTTAGTCCAGTGTCCTGTATGAGGATCATATTTCTCAACAGAATTTAAGATATTCAAGCCATCATATCCTCCTGAGAACACAAAGTAGAATCGTTGCACAGAGGAAGGTAAATCCCATGTCCAATCTCAGTTAAGCTTTTCTATGAGTGCTCCGACTAATTATTGTTTCAGCCCTCCCACAGGCGTTCCATTAACCTGAAGAGAGACTGACAGCACCTAAGTTTTGTTTACAAACTGTACAGAACCCTCATAAAAGGAAAACACACTGAATTAGGCCACTGTAATTTACTTGAAGGGAGTCTATGAACCTAACTCTGGTAAATAGGATTCCCCCCCATAGCCTGCTTCCCACTGAGTTCTCTCCCACTCTTATCTCTCCCAGGCTGAATACCAAGACAGTAGATCACCCCACTGGCCACCACCAGTCCAGCGCCTTCCCGGGCTGTCTGCATATCTCCCAGCATGCTCCACTGATCAATGTTGGGGTCATATCGCTCCATACTGGTATGACGCCTGCTTCCATCAAAGCCTCCAGAGACATAGATCATATCTGCTCAGAGCAAACAAATAAGACTATTAGAGATTGAGAAACTTCTAATAATTTTCTTCTACCAATTCTCCTCAAAAGTCTAGGCACACTAATCAAAGTGTTTCTTATGGGATAAATCAATGAAGTCTAAAAAGAAGAGGACAAGATAGAATCATCCCCAGGAACATATGAAGACTAGATGAAGTTTATAAAAATCCAAGAACCAGTGCCAGATTCCCACCCAGCACACAGACTCTTACAACTCAGTCGCTAGTACTGAAACATCCATGGACAATGAATAGCTTCGGTAGCATTAATATCTCCAAAACCAAAAAGGAGTCTCTGGCCGTACCAGTTACAGGGCTCTTTTCTTGTTCCTGCCAGGTAACAGGAGAAGTATGAACTGACTCAGGCACAGAGAAATGCAAACATCAAGCCTACCTCCCAGGGTAGTGGCTCCAGCAAGGCCCCGTCGCACATTCATAGGAGCCACTGAATACCAGACCCCATCTTCATCTGCTGTGTAGTCTAGACATTCCACTGAACTGAGGCGGGAACGTCCATCATAACCACCGATGACGTAGATCCGGTCATGCAGGGAGACTGAGGCCACATAACGTCTCTTACGAGTGATGCTCTATGGATTTTGAAGACAAGAGGAACAGAGCATTGATGGGAGGCCGATCTCTGACAATTGCCTATTGCTAGGCTTCCTGTTTTTATCCACAATCCTCTTTTTTGTTTTTTCTGTCACCCTGAGCCATCATCCTTCAGGCAGTGGTCCATCCTCAAGTGGCCTCCAGCTGTCTGCCTACTAAATGACTACTTGCTCACTTGTGGTGGTTTTGAAGATGCAAGTCTTCTACACATTTGCCTCTTTCCAAGGCTTCCAAAAGATTATGGTTTCTCCCATTATTTAGTTATCTGAATAAATGGGGTCTGAGTTAAGAGGCTGATATATTTCCATGATGTGGAAGCCATTCCAGCATTGCTAACCAAAGGCCAGGATGCTAAGACCCTAAAAGCTAGAGGAGTGGGCAAGAAATTTCCACGTTTCTCAGAATATTATTGTTCAGTCTGCACTGAAATCGTACGGATATAGCACCGTGCCAGGAAAAACCCCATTGCTTCCATCTAACATTAAGTTTATTTTAGCCCAGTGTGACCAGTAGAGTATGTGAGGGTTATCCAGTGTGCCTAAACAGTGTGGCCACATGAACTTAATTTGACACTGGGCTAATCACATTTCTGAAGTCCAATCATTACTCGGCAACCGTGTTATCACATACCTACTGTGGGCCAGCACTGTTTTAAGAAGACTGTGCTGTTACTCGGCTTTTCTACTCTCGGGATGAGCTCGGCTCTAGGTTCAAGGAATGAGAACATCTGTGTTCTCTGCCTACAATGGGTTCCACTATGGCTTACTGGCAAAAAGCTCCACTCCTGAGTCTTTGGGTCGTATTTTTCCACCACATCGATGGGAGATTGCTGGCTTCCGAAGCCCCCGACCACCAGAAGCACTTCATTGGCTCCTGAAGAGAAAGAGAAACAGGTTACTTCACTCTCCTGGCTGGGCAACTGAGCCCAGGACAGTGTTAAATAGCAACAGCTCTACGATATTTTATTTTACATGGCCCCGAAAAGTCATCTGAAATAGAAGACATGTTGTCAGACTGCTTAATAGGAAACTCGTTCTGCTTGAGGCGCCCTTGTCCTTGAGGACTTGACTCTGAAATTGTACTTCCTCAACGGGACAAACTGAACATACCAAGGCAGCATTTTGACCACCTGAGTCTCTTTCTTAGAACATCCCCTAACCTTGTCTCTAAAAAGATGAGAGTTGAGCCTTGGGAATCAAATTATAGACGTAAAAATCTCTTCTGGATGGACTCTGACTCTTCCAATTAAGTCAACTATTCATATGCCCAAGTGCCTTGCCCAGTCATCACAACTACCAGGTGACTACAGGGAGGCTTGAAAGAGAGAAAGGCTCTTTTCTCTACCATTTCTCCACGAGGCTATCTGACAGCTGTGAGCTCCTCTCTCCTGCTCTCTCAGACCTTCTCTAATAAAACATCCCTACCCTCTCTTCCCTCTAGGAAATCCTGTGTATCTCATCGACAGGAACCAAAGCAGAGAAAGGTTTGCTGGAGCCTTTCAGACGACTGGGTTTTAGGAGGGCATTGGATGACTGCAGCTATCTTACAATTAATACATATCTTACAATCCATACATACATCAATTGTATAAAGCACATTTGTACATTCATTACCCTCATCACTCTCCAAATATTTCCTCTCCATGTAAGCCCCTGGCATCAGCTCATTTTTCCCCTTCCTCCCCGTTCCCCCCTGCTCTCATGAACCCTTGATAATTTATAAATTGTATTATTTTGTTATATCTTACACTGCCTGACGTTTCCCTTCACCCACTTTTCTGTTGTCAGTCCCTCAGGGAGGAGGTTATGTGTAGATCCCTGTAATCGGTTCCCTTTCCACCCTACCCTCCCTCCACCCCTCCCGGTCACTCTCACCACTGGTCCTGAGGGGATCACCCGCCCTGGATTCCCTGTTTGCAGTTCCTGTCTGTACCAGTGTGCATGCTCTGGTGTAGCCGGATGTGTAAGGCAGGATTGGGGTCATGACAGTGGGGACTGGAGTCTTAGCAAGCCTCTGGTCTGACTACCAGTCCGGAGGTTTACTGAGACGTCACTAGATGACTTAGATGTCCCTAAAGGGATGCAAGCAGCAAATTCAGCATGTGGGAAACTGCAGGTCGCTCCACCTGAATGTTTTGGTCATATAAATTGCAAGGAAAAACCAAAGAAAGAGATGAAAGTATGGATTAAAAGAAACTACGGAGAGGATCCAATGCGATGTACAAATCTTGTCTTCATTCTGATTGTGACAACCTAAGAGTTTGAAAGTAAATGACAAGATGAGGAATGTGGGCATGTGCTTGATATCTGATGAGAGTAAGAAATTAGAAGTTTTTTTTCCTTCCTCTTAAAAACATGGTAATGGTCTTTTGGGTATTTTAAATTATAATGTTTTAAAAAAAATCATTTTATGGGGGCTTTTACAGCTCTTTATCACAATCCATACATGTATTTGTTTTTGTTTGGGATTTAGTTCAGAGCAGATAAAATGCGTTCAGCCTTGTGTTGTAACTGTTGGAAGTAGATGGTGGGTAATAGAGGAAGTACTTGAGGGAGGGGAGAATGGGGAGGGTGGGGAAAAATGAGCTGATACCAAGGAAATGTTTTGAGAATGATGAGGATAACAAATGTGCTGACATACAATGGCTATATGTATGGATTGTGATAAGAGTTGCATGAGCCCCCAATAAAATGATTTTAAAAAATAGAAAAGTTATCCTACAAAAATAAAAGAAAAGAAAAAAAATAGAGGAAATGTTATGCTGCTTTTATTATGTTTGGAATGGTCTTAATCTACACACAATTTATCAACGGAGTTTCATCTCATTTGCTGAGAGCGCAGCAGCCTCCTAAACTTGCCGTACAGCTAATGGACTCTTCTTCAAAGTGAGCCAGGAGCCATTTGGCCTCTTAGAAAATTAAAGCATTTGAACAAGGGCTCTTTCATGTTATGACATTTTATATGTACAGAAAGTCCTTCCAAGCTGGGAGAGGCCAGGGCCACAAGCTGTTTGTTTCCTCCTTTCCAGAACTATTCCCCTCCCCACTTACCTCTTCTGACCTCACCTATTCTTCCCCTCTGACCTGAGCAGAGAAGGTAAGAGCAATCCTTTTATCCAAATGCACTTCCTCAAATACATACACATGATGCTAGTGGGTGATCTCAGTATGGATAAAAGAATGACAATCGGGGGAGGGGGTGGAGAGGAGCTGACAACAAAGGCTCAATAGGGAATAAATGTCTAGAAAATAACGATGGCAACATGTGTACAAACGCACTTGATACAACTGATGTGTGGACTGTGGCAAGAGATGTAAGATCCCCAATAAAATGTTTAAAAAGAGAGAATGACAATCTTCTACACATCGATTTTCAGTGTAATTTCTGTTGATCTATAAATAGACCAGGGGGAAAACCCTTTTCTAACACAATTGCATCTGACCATGTTTTGCAGGATGAGGGCATAGAAGTTGATAAAGGAATTATCTAGATCATGCTGAAAAATAAAAACCTCCCCTTAGTTTATTCACAGTGTTCAATAGTCCTAGGGTAACACTCTGGCAGTTAAAAGCCTATGCCCATGGTCGGACTTAGCCTGAGGGGGGAGAGCTGCTGGGGGGGGGGGGTTATGCTCTAGTGGCTGAGACCCTAGATCACTGGTTCCCAAACTTCTTTTGACATAAAGGGCTCTTTCCATTACTCTCTCCTGACAAATCCTGTGTTTTGAAAGACTGTCTACCAAACTGAATTTAAGTAATTAACTTACCCATTACTGTTGGCAGCCACCAACAGAGCTTTTGTTAAGTATGAGAGCACAAGTGTTCTCACACTGAATGGAAGTAATTTTAGTAAAATCTAATGTCTTTGTTTAGGCCATGTAATACAAAAATGATTTTCATAAAATCTACCGATAATTCCATAAGCCAGACACACTAAAATGAAGTATTTTCTTCCAGGCCGGTTTCTAAATCTATCTGAAAACATAAACAGGACCATAATGTGCTGTATCCTGCTGTTTCTATTCATTTCTTCAAGGCATTAACTAAATCTTCTATGTGCTTAATGTTTTTAGGCATTTCAATGGTTCACATTTTGGGGTTGTAAACAATCACATGCAATCCTGTGACAAATATTCTTGAGCAGGAAGCTTTTCCAGGTTATCTTCTTAATATAGAAATGAGGGGGTTGCTGGAGTAAAGAACATGACATCCTCTGACATATAAGACTACATCTATTCCCACGAACACTTACATACAGGTGTCCAAGGCATTTCACTCTCTGTAGCACTAGATACTGTCTTTTAACTCTGACAAAGAGGTTGTAATCATTATTTTATTTCCAATAGGATCGTACTACTAACATCTGGTTAAGTTAAACGGTTTCCTCTTACATTGCGTGACCAGTGTACTCCCTTCTGTAAAATGTATGCTTGAACCTTCAGTGTTTCTGTCAGGCAGTTCTATGGGCACTGTACTGATAAATGATTTTAACCCTTTGCTTTGATGATAGCAGATCTAGTTTCTTACCTTGTCTTCTAATTGCACACATATTTTTTGAGGTATAATAATTTTTTGTATGAAGTTGCACTGATTTATCTTTCTTTGTGACTTCTCCACAGCTTTTGTGCCTATGAAGTCTCGCTATGGGAAGAGCACCTACTGTTTGACAGTCACAGGGCCTCTGGTCGTGGTTGGGGTCTAACGCTCGAAATTAAGAGCTAATGAAGGGGCTGGCCAAACAAAAGCCTCTTTCTTCTTTGCCAATAAGTGAGGTATTAGTTAATTTAGGTTTTTATCTTTATGACGAGAAAAATGGATTACAAAAAAATCTGACAAGAACAGTTTGGAAAAGTACATTATGAAAACAGACATGTTGGCAGGGCCAGGGTCATTTTGTTTGGTGGGTGGCGTGGTGAATGTGTGCCGTGTGGCTACAAGAATCGGGCAGGGAGATAGCCACTGTGTTAACGTCACCGTGTTCAGACCCAGGTCCCGGCTGTGGTGATCTGTCGCTCAGAAATGGGGATGAGGACTGACCACTGTCATTGCACACTGTGAGAGCACAGCAGGCCACGCTGGGAACTGACGCACCATCTCCACGCTGCAGAAACAACCGACCTTCTAAGTCACTACAAGGCGACACTAACCAGTTGGTGGTAACTTCAGAACTGCCCTTTTAGAACTTCTGAAAAATGAATTTCAAAACTGCAAAGGCATTGAGAATCATATTCTAATCCTGCAGGGCAATAGCAAGTTACTTGAGAAAGCATGAGTTCTTTCTGTTGCCAGTTCAAATAAATAAAAATAAATCTAAAGAATCTTCTGGGATTGCTAATTCATAAAACCTTTCATGGAGGTACAATGGGTAAGTGTTGGGCTGTTAACTGCAAGGTTGGTGGTTCAAAACCACCAGCTACTTCTTTGGAGAAAGATGAGAATGTTTGCTCTCCTGTCAAGATCTACAGTCTCAGAAACCCAAAGGAGCAGTTCTACTTAGTTCTATGGGGTTGCTTTGAGTGAGAATCAAGTCAATGGCAATGGGTTTGTTTTTTTGTTAACTCAACATAACTAGCATTTCTTGAGTGCTATCATGCTCTCTAGGCCACCTGTGGGTCTACTGGAAAAAACAACCCTTTATCTTCTTTATCAGAAAGAACCTTAGTAATTGAACTTGATGTTGATATGAAGAAACGGTAACCCAGAGAGGGAGAGAACTTGTCCAAATTAAGTTAGCAAGTGACCAGATTGAGTGACAAAACCGGCAGGAGAGACCAAGGTAAGCAAGCCGTCTTCTCTCTTTGGGCCAAGCTCTTTCTACGCTCTCAAGGCCTCATGTGAGATTTACAAAGAGAAAAATGGATTACAAAAAAATCT